AATTAGCCAGGCCTGGTGGCAGGTGCCTGTAATGCCAGCTACTTGAGAGACTGAAGCAGGAGAATCACTCCAACCCAGGAGGCGGAGGTTGCAGTGAGCCGAGATTGCACCAATGCACTCCAGCCTGGGTGACAGAGTGAGACAAAAAAAAAAAAAAAAAGATGCTGCAGGGTGGAGTGGTCTGCATATTCAACAACATACACAGATCCTTTGGCTTTCATGTCACTGGATGTCTAACTCTGTTTCATGTGGATTCACTGTCTACCATTTGATTTATATTAACTGAAAACTGGATACCAACGAAATAGCAAGCACATTCTTTTCCCCTTCCTTCCTTCCTTCCTTCCTTCCTTCCTTCCTTCCTTCCTTCCTTCCTTCCTTCCTTCCTTCCTTCTCTTTCTTTTTGCAGGGTAACATAAGGTTGGGTGCAAGGAGTGGTACGTGAGTTTTCCCCAGTGAAGTATGTGGACAAAAAAGTTCTAGCATCTTGGCTTAGCCGAAATGTGTAAAACTCACTAAGACATAAAACTGTTCCAAGCAGGCCATAAAGGCGCTGCTGCCTTTGCCTCAGAACTTGGGCTATAATGTGCTGTCCTGGAACAAAACGCACACATAAATCAGCTTTCACAGTATTTTTAACCACCTACAAAATTCTTCATTTCCTGCCTGAAATGCTTCTGACAGTGAGCGATGCCACTCTCCCTCATTCTTTGCGATGCCACTCTCCCTCATTCTTGCTCTGAAAAGGTTCCCTTCGGGCAGTGATGGGGACCCAACACTGGGCCCCACAGCTCAGGCAAGCCCAGGAGGCACGGGATAGAGGAAATGATCTCCCAGGGTCTCTAGGACAAATAAGCCAGGGATGTGGCTAGCGTAAAAAATGCTTTCGTGCATAGTTGGAAAGGGCACCCCTTCTTGGCACAGGAAGCCCTGTGGGTTCCCCCCTGGGATGCCCTCTCCTGCATCTTTGCCTGACGCAATCTCGTCTGTCCTCCTGGACCCATAGCCTCCACAAAGCTACCCCCAAATACCCATCCCATTCTCTTTCCTCTGCACTCCGAATGCAACAATAGCGAGTACCAGACAGCTGGCATTTAATTAGATGATGTCTGGCATGCACTATTTCATGTTGTCAGTCTGTCACTCTAACTAGATTAAAGAGATCTTGAGGTAATCGTTAGTTCTTACTTATTTGTCTTCCTTACAGCTAACGAGGAAGCTTTATGTCTGCATACCTTACAAATAACAAGGTCATGAAAAACAGGAGCCTAGGGTGACTGTCTCGTTCTCCCCGCTGTACCCATTGAGCAGACAAAATTGAGAGCCAAAGAGGAGGCTTGACCTGCCCAAGGTCATGCAGTGAGAACTTGGGCTAGCCAGGAACGACTCCAGTTCCCCTGTCTGTCAAGGCAGTGTTCTACTTCCCTGAAACACTTAGTTCTAAAACCCCCAAATAGGAGGTTCAGAACCACAGCTCCCTGGGGTAATAAAGACAGACAGACAAACAGCTGGCCCACAGTAATCCATCTGCTCATGGGCAGAATTTCCAACACGGAGGCAAGTCAAGCTGCTCTAAGGCTCAGCAAACAGCCTCCATGGGAATCTAAGCTGGGTCTCTGTATGTGCCAGGGGGATGAAAGGACCTCAGTGGGGTACCTGGAGCACTTGCATCCTCCCTGACACCACACAGGTCACTATTGTCTGCGATGCCTGGGGCAGAGGAAACCCGTAATTGATGGTCTCAGCAGGAAGGACACGTAGACAGGTGGAGAGGGCATCTCCTATTTATAGAGAGATGCTTGTGTTTGCTAGGAGCTGCCTTTTGCAGTGAACTATACACCCTTGATAGCAGGAAACCACCTAAGTATTTGCCCCAAATTTATAATAACAGATACAATAGTGTCAAAGCTGATAGAAACTGAAAACAAAATAATAACAAAAAATACCCATGGCAACAACTGGTAAGCAAAACCCTGTAACGACAAGCTGGCAGCAGCCTCATCAGTCCTGCTGAGGCTCTCCTGGGCACTCACAAGCCACAGCACCCGGCACTTCGTACTTCTCGCAAACACCCTATGAGTTTGGTATGATGTGCTTGTTTATACATGTGGAAGCTGAGGCTTAGGGGGCTGAAGTATCTTGCCTCACATCACAGGCTGCTAAGAGGCAGAGCTGGGACTGACATCCAAGTTGATCTCCCTCTAAAAGCCTCCCCTTTCACTACAACCCACATAGACTGTCATTCCAACCCCACTTCAAGCATTTCTTCCCATTATCAGACCTGTGGGACAAGGTTTGGTTGGGAAAACACGAGGCTCTTCAGAAAGACAGACAACAGATTGCCCATCATTTCATGGACAAGGGACCGACATGAGGCGCACCCAGATCTCTGTGGCTTTTTCTTGGTGCCAAACAAATGCAGAAGGAGCCACTTCTCAAAGAACACAGTGTTTTTCTTCCTCTTCTCACCTCCCCTGGGCCGGTGCCTGTGATAATTGGGAAGCACGGAGTCTGGTTTTTCTGGGATTGGAACCAATGCTGTGAAGAGAGTTCTGACAATAAATGTTGATTGACAGTTGATGGACAATGTTCTTGAATCAGTTTTTCCTGTGCTGGGTGTTAAGCTGAGAACTGCACTAAGCAACTGCTCAACAGCCTGCTTCCTGTTCAGATAGAATTTACTACACTCTCTCTCTGTGGGCCTCAGTCAGGCAGCCAGGAGAGATGGTATCTCAGGCCTCTTCCAGCTCCATCACTCAATGTCTCTATCAAGAAGAGAACACAGATCTGAAAACATTTTTTTCCCCCAAACACTGAGCTGGGGTTATTATTCACACACACACACACAGGCACCAACAGAGATAACTGGTCAGGAAATAAGGAGCTTTGATTCTGGTCTCATACTCTTTGACCTAGTAATTCTACTTCTGTGAATTTATCTTAAAGAAAGAATCCAGAGGACAGAGCTGTGTGCACAAAAATGTTTGCTTTCACAATATTTGGAGTTACTGTTAATAAAATGATGTCCAGTGCAACAATGGGAGAGACTCACTTGGTGGCACATGAGGCCACCGCAAATGATAATTTCAAAGACACAGGAAAACATCCTTGGCAGTGGTTTTCAAATTGCAATTCACCCTCCATTAAGGGGTCACGAAATAAACCTAAGAGGTTTCCTGCCACCAACTTGTTTTTATTTTTATTTTTTGAGATGGAGTTTCTCTCTTTTGCCCAGGCTGGAGTGCGGTGGCATGATCTCGGCTTACTGCAACCTCCGCCTTCAAGTTTCAAGTGATTCTCCTGCCTCAGCCTCCCAAGTAGCTGGAATTGCAGGTGCCCACCACCACACCCAGCTAATTTTTGTATTTTTAGTAGAGACGGGCTTTTGCCACATTGGCCAGGCTGCTCTCAAACTCCTGACCCAAAGTGCTGGGATTGAGAGGTGAAGCCAGCTGGACTTCCTGAGTCAAGTGGGAACTTGGAGAACTTTTCTGTCTAACTAGAAGATTGTAAACGCACCAATCAGCATTCTGTGTCTAGCTAAAGGATTGCAAATGCACCATTCAGCACTCTGTAAAAATGCACCAATCAGCGCTCTATGTCTAGCTAAAGGCTTGTAAATGCACCAATCAGCACTCTGTAAAAATGCACCAATCAGTGCTATGTCTAGCTAAAGGATTATAATACACCAATCAGCACTCTGTGTCTAGCTAAGGGATTGTAAATGCACCAACCAGCACTCTGTAAAAACACATCAATCAGTGCTCTGTGTCTAGCGAAAGGATTGTAAACACACCAATCAGCACTCTGTGTCTCGCTAAAGGATTATAAATGCATCCATCAGCACTATGTAAAAATACATCAATCAGCACTCTGTGTCTAAAGGATTGTAAACACACCAATCAACACTCTGTAAAATGGACCAATCAGCACTCTGCACAATGGATCAATTAGCACTCCGTAAGTGGGGACAAATAAGGGACTAAAAACTGGCCACCTCCCAGTCAGCAGTGGCAACCCACTCATGTCCCCTTCCATGATCGTGGGAGCTTTGTTCTTTGGCTCTTCACAATAAATCTTGCTGCTGCTCACTCTTTGGGTCTGTGCTACCTTTAAGAACTGTAACACTCACCGGGAAGTCAGCAAGACCAAGAACCCACAAGAAGGAACCAACTCTGGACACAGGATTACAGGCCTGAGCCACCATGCCCGGCCTTGTTTTTTTAATTAAATAGGCAAGAATAGAAAATAACAGAGTGCATCACAGGTGGTAAAGGTACTTACTGTGAAACTTTGGTTTTGGTTTCATGGATAATTGGGCCATGGTATAAAGTATATTTTTTATCATGGGGTCACAGTCAAAACATTTCAAAGGCCGTAGGTCTATGGTGTACAGTATAGTAGGATTACAACAATATAAAATACTGTGTGTGAGGCCAAGCCTGGGAGGAATAAACAGAAGCAAAGAGTAACTGATAAGGTTGGTAGAATAAAGGATGCTGCTTCTCAGTTATATGTATTCTGTGATGTTTGTAGGCTGTTCTTACAATAAAACAAAACAAAAAGAAAAGAAGTCAAGACACAAAGGAGAAATAACAACAGAAGGTCATTATCAGACTCCACTGGCGGAGGAGCTCAGGGCTCCTGCACCGGCCTTGAAGGATGGACAGAATTTGAATCAGGGGCGTGGCCTAAACAGGGACAGGGTTTTTGCTGAAACACAAAAAACACTGAAAGAGAACATGGGGTTAAAAAAGGATCTAAGTGATGCAAAGTGGCTTAAAACTGGGGAAGAAAAGGGCAGGTCCACTCCCGGACTGTCCATTGTGCCCCTGTACCGACTTTTCCTTCCTCCACCCACCTAGGCTGAGACCTCAAGCTAGAGGTTGCCCCTCATAAACATGTCCGCACCAAGCCGGCCGCGCCCCTCAACAAGATGGCGACGCCAGCAGCCCCACCTCCCGCTGCCTTGGTGGCCAATGAGGGAGAAGCATGAAGCCTTGAGCATGCGCATAGTTACTTGGTGGGCGCGTACAGTGATGACTTGGGGATCCGGGCAACTAACATGACTAAAAAGAAGCGGGAGAATCTGGGCGTCGCTCTAGAGGTGAGGGGAAAAGTGGGGGTTGGGCCACCTCGTTAGTTGCCTTCTCCTGGCCGCGGGATAAGGGATGGGCTGGGCTGTAGGTGAGAGGAGGAGCCAAGCGGAGGAAGAGAGGGCGACGAGTCTTGGGGAGAGGGACGGGAGGGGTGAGAAGGCCCACGGGGTTCCCGGAGGCAAGTTAGCAGGAGAGGGTACCCGATGGGCGAACCAGATAGAGGGCATCTCCAGAGAGGAAGGGACATGGAAGTGAAGGGGAGCCCCAAAGACGGCCTGGCATAGAAGTGAGGGAACTCAAAGCGGGGGACACAGAACGAAAGGGTACAAAGGTGAGGGAGACCCCAGAGAAATAGGGACCTGTAGATGAGGGGAACTCCCAAAGGACTAGGACGCAAAGATGAGGGAGCCCATTCTGGTGTATATTGCTAATGGTTTAAATATCCTCTAAAAGGGGAAATTTTTCCTCCAGAGTGTGGAAGCTTGTACCTTCAAAATTACTTTGGGAATATGTAAAGATAATTCGGTCTCATGCGTCCGTGTGAAGAGACCACCAAACAGGCTTTGTGTGAGCAACATGGCTGTTTATTTCACCTGGGTGCAGGCGGGCTGAGTCTGAAAAAAGAGTCAGCAAAGTGTGGTGGATTATCATCAGTTCCTACAGGTTCTGGGATAGGCGGTGGAGTTAAGAGCAATGTTTTGGGGGCAGGGGGTGGATCTCACAAAGTACATTCTCAAAGGTGCGTAGAATTACAAAGAACCTTCTTAAGGGTGGGGGAGATTACAAAGTACATTGATCAGTTAGGTTGGGGCAGAAATAAATCACAATGGTGGAAAGTTATCAGTGTAAGGCTACTTTCACTTTTGTGGATCTTCAGTTGTTTCAGGCCATCTGGATATATACATGCCCGTCACAGGGGATATGATGGCTTAGCTTCTTCAGAGGCCTGTCTGACAAATTCTGGAATTGGTGATGTGACGGAATGGCTTAAAAATAATTTGCTGCATATAGAAGGGAAAGAAAACATGCATATTGAGCAACCACTGTGTGCTACTTTCATTGCATTATCAGTTAATCCTCACTGCAAGCCTGTGAGGTTTGTACAGATGAGGAAATTGAGGTTTCAGGTGGAACCCAGGCTGAGATGGTAGAAGTGCTGGAGCCTGGGAATCAAGCACAGGTGGTCTTCCTGGAAATTCATCTTGCTTCCCGTTTCCCTTCCCTTAGGGCATCCTCCTGGAGGTTGCAGGAGAGGTACCGGGTCATAGTCTTCTTCAGGCTTACTAGTGAGTTCAGTGATTCTCAAACTTTAGCATGCATAGAGTCACAGAGCTTGTTAAAAATGGAGAGTTGAACTCTTCCCACACCCCGAGTAATTCAGTAGGACTTTGATGTGCATTCTTAACAAGGAATCTGCTTTTTTTTTTTTTTTTTTTTTAAAGACAGAGTCTCGCTCTGTTGCCCAGGCTGGAGTGCAGTGGCATGATCTTGGCTCACTGTAACCTCTGCCTTCTGGGTTCAAGCGATTCTTGTGCCTCAGCCTCCCGAGTAGCTGGGATTACAGGCACGTGCCACCATGCCTGGCTAATTTTTGTATTTTTGTAGAGATGGGGTTTCACCATGTTGGCCAGGCTGGTCTTGAATACCTGACCTCAAGTGATCTGCCCGCCTTAGCCTCCCAAGGTGCTGGGATTATAGGCATGAGCCACCATACCCAGCCAGAATCAGCATTTTTTTTTTTTAACAAGCCACGCACACCCCATGGTGATGCAGGTAGTTTTAGTAGCACCCGTTGAGAAATATTGGCCTATACTTGGTAGGAAAAAGGTTGATGGAAATGTGAAGAGGATGGTTTATGAATGGTGAAATGAGATGGCACTGCGTGGCAGGAAGAACATAGACTTTATAACCTGTATTAGGGTACAATAAGCTGCAGTAACAGAGAAACTCCAAAACTTAGTGGTTTCAAGAACAAGAAAGTGAGTTTTTTTCTAACAGGCTAGAGCAAGGGGCAGCAGATGTCTGCACATGGTCAGATAGTAACTATTTTAGAAGAGACATGGTCTCTTCTAAAGAGCCAAATGGTCTCGGTTGCAACTACAGTTGCTCCTCATTATTCACGGATTCCACATTTGTGAATTTCCCTAATAGCTAAAATGCATTTGTAACCCCAAAATCAGTACTCTCAGTGCTTTTGTGGCAAATGCAGAGCAGTGGGAAAAAATTTGAGTTGCTCGAGGTCCATGTTCTCAGCTAAAGTCAAACAGGTGATGCCCTGCCTTGTTTCAGCTGTCCTGCTGTAAACAAGGGTCCTTATTGTGTTCTATTTAGTGCCCTGTTTTTTGTTTTTTGTTTTTTTTCATTCTCGTGTTTTTTATTGGTGATTTTGCTGTGTTTTGCTTTTAAGACGGAATCTCGCTCTTGCCCAGGCTAGAGTGTAGTGGTGTACTCTTGGCTCACTGCAACCTCCACCTCCTGTTCAGGTGTTCCCCTCTTCCCCTGCTGCAGCCTCCCTAGTAGCTGGGATTAGCCCACCACCACATCCGGTTAATTTTTGTAGTTTTGGTAAAGACGAGGTCTTGCCATGTCGGCCATGCTGGTCTCGAACTCCTGACCTTAGGTGATCCGCCCACCTCAGCCTCCCAAAGTGCTGGGATTACAGGTGTGAGCCACTGCCCGATTTCGTGGTTTAAAGTGCCCCGCCCACCCCCCCGACCCCCGACCCCCCCGACCCCCGACCCCCCGCCCCAAGCATAGGGCTGAAGTGCTGTCTGGTGGTGTTCCTAAGTCCAAGAAGGCTGTGATGTGTGGCAGAAGAAAACAGGTTTCTTGGCCGGGCGCGGTGGCTCAAGCCTGTAATCCCAGCACTTTGGGAGGCCGAGATGGGTGGATCATAAGGTCAGGAGATTGAGACCATCCTGGCTAACATGGTGAAATCCCGTCTCTACTAAAAAAATACAAAAAAAACTAGCTGGGCGAGGTGGCGGGCACCTGTAGTCCCAGCTGCTCGGGAGGAGAATGGCGTGAACCCGGGAGGCGGAGCTTGCAGTGAGCCGAGATCCGGCCACTACACTCCAGCCTGGGTGACAGAGCCAGACTTCGTCTCAAAAAAAAAAAAAAAAAAAAAGAAAACAGGTTTCTTAGATAAACTGTTCAGGCATGATTTAACTCATGTTGGTTGTGAGTCCAGTGGTCCAGTGTTAATGAATCAACTATATATTGAATAAGGTCACTTTAAACAGAATCACACATAAAACAAGATGGCAAAAATGTGTCCATAGGCTTGCAGGAACCCAGCCTGGTTCGGTATTTGCTAATTCAATATTGGAGGCAACTTAATAGGACATAGCTACCAGGAATAACAAAAACCAACTGTATTCAGGCTAAGGAGTATGTAAATGAAGCAATATGTAAATGAGTGGGTGTATCAGTGTTCCACTAAAGCTTTATCTGCAAGAACAGGCATTAGACCATTTGGCCACAGGGCTTAGTTGCCAACTCCTGGTCTAAAGTACCAGGTCTGTGGTGGTTCTGCCAGATTCCCTTCCTCTGTGGCTCCACCATCTCTCAGGATCTTGTCACCTTATCAGTGGAACCAGGGCGTACCCCACTGATGTGTCCACTGGCAGAGAAAGAGGAGAATGGAGGAAGCACACCCACCATCGTGGGCCCAAACTGCCCACTTTCCATTGGAAAGAACTAAGACCCCACCTGAGTGCACGGGGACCAGAGAAACGCGTTCACCAGTCAGGAGGCCACATAGCCAGCTACTGTTTGCTTACTATGGAAGAAGAGACCAGTGTGTTTTCACAGAGAGCCTGTAATCTCACTGCAGATGGCACCTCACCTCACAGTGTGGTTGTGAAGATTAAATGAGACATTGTGTGTGCCCAGCACGTGCCTGGCACAGGATTGGTAATCAAGACACGGTAGCTCCAGCCTTTGTATTTCTTTTGCATCCTTCCACCATGGCTAAGTCAAACTCATTCTTGGGCATTTGTTCCCTTGTCTATAACATGAAGGACTTGAATTTCACCAGGGGTTACAAACTCCTTGACTGTGGCCCAAATACAGATCACAGATGTCTTCTGTTTGGCTGACACAGATTTTTAAGTTTTTATTTTTATTTATTTTTCTGAGACAGGATCTCACTCTGTCACCCAGGCTGGAGTGCAGTGGCGTGATCTCAGCTCACTGCAGCCTCTGCCTCCCAGGTTCAAGCGATTCTCGTGCGTTAGCCTCCCGAGAACCTGAGACTACAGGCGTGCATCACCATGCCCAGCTAAGTTTTGTATTTTTAGTAGAGATGGAGTTTCACCATATTGGCCAGGCTGGTCTCGAACTCATGACTTCAAGTGATCTGCCTGCCTTAGCCTCCCAAAGTGCTGGGATTGCAGGTGTGAGCCACCACACCCAGCTGGATTTTTAAGTTTTTAAACTTGATGGGGCATGTATTCTCCAAGTGCCTTATACTGGGGCAGATTCCATTGTTTTACCCTCTCCATACCACTGTAGATATTTATATTTGCTATCTTGGTCCCTAAGTTTACTTTTTGCTTGGATATTAGAAGATTTGACATCTGTAACCGTGTGCCTTGGCAAAAGCCTGACATCTGGCTGGCTGTCTCCCCACCTTGCTTCTCAGTTGCCCCCAGCGGGTCTAAGTATTGAATGTGCACTGATGCTCAGTAGCAGTAGATATTGTCCTCTTATTAAAAGTCTTGTGCTCAGAGCCAATGAAGTGGTGATTTAATCAAAAATGTTTGTTAATCTGACGAGTGCAATAAAACCCCCACAAGTGAGTGATCTCAGCACCTGCAAACAGTCTTCACTTGTAATGAAGCAATTACCAAGCAGGCACCACTCACCCGTGGGGCTGGCTCAGGCCAGCTGTATAAGCAGTCACCTCTTAGGACGACCAGGGCACCCTCTAGCCTCCCCCTCAGAGTGGTTCCTTTTATCCAATTCATTTGCCACCATATGAGATCTCAGAGTTGGAAAAAACTGT